GTTTTGCTTGCTTGTATGTAAGTGCACCCAGGCATGCAATGCCCGAGGGGGCCAGAAAGAGGCATGGGATCCCCTGTACCTGGACTTACAGACATTCGTTAGCTGCCTTGTGGGTCCTCTGCAAGAGCAGTTGGTGCTCTTAACCGCTGAGCCACCTCTCCAGCTCCCTTCAGAAATTCTTTTTTAAATTTTGTTGGATGCACTGGAACTGATGTGAAAGATGGTTGGTTGCTAGCCACTACTTGGATGCTGGGAACTGAAGTGAGGTCCTCTGTGAGAGCAGCCAGTACTCTTAACACTGAGCCATCACTCCAGGCCCCACCCCCTCAGAAATTAAGGCAATAAATAAATAAATAAATAAATACATAAATAAATAAATAAATAAATAAATAAATAAATAAGTAGACTGGTGATGTGACTCTGTAGGTAGAATGCTTGCCTGGTATGCACAAAGCCCTGAGTTCTATCCCCTGCTTGACATAAACTGGGTATGGTTGTCCACATCTGTGGTCTCAGCACTTGAGAGGGATAGAGGCAGTAGGATCAGAAGTTGATGGTTATACTCGGTTATATATCAAGTTCCAGGCCAGCTTGGGCTACATGAGACCCTGTCTCTAAATAAAATAATAAAATAGCTCATATTTCCTTAACTTTTAAGCCTTACTATTTTGTCTTACTTAATCTTTAAACTGTGTTGAAAAGTATACCCTTTAGGCTGGGCATGGTGGCACATGCCGTTAATCCCACCAATCAGGAGGCAGAGGCAGGTGGATCTCTGTGAGACTGAGGCCAGCCTGGTCTATGCAGTGAATTCCAGGTCAGTTGAAGCTGCAGGGAGACCCTGTCTCAAAAAGACAAAAAAACAAAAACAAAAACAAAAAACAAAAAAAAAAACCCAAAACAAAACAACAACAAAAAAATCCCTTGAGCAATGTAACTCAAAAAAGCCACAAAATCATATCTATCTAAGATAGATCTCCATTGTAAAGACAACTAAGTGTGGCCTCACATCTATGACTTCGACTCACAGTCTTTTCTTATATGACACTGTATAAATACTTATTTATATGACACTGTATAAATACTTAGCTGTATTTCACTTTGGCTTGTCCTGAAATTCTTTTCTGCAGGGTAGTCAAGGATCCAGTTTTACTGGAATGGAGCTCTCTAAGTGGGAGGGGAACTCCTTAGGCTGCTGGTGGCCTGCTGGGCTGTGTCCTCATGCAAACATTGACACTAACCCTCCTTGAGGTATCCTCACTCCTGTTTTGTGCAACACCAAATTTATCAGCATCCCAATCCTTCATCATCTCTCCTGGAATTTTACTGTGTTCCAACCTGCAGAGATTAAATCTTCCTGACAACATTAATTTTTATGGCTGATTTAAAAAATATTTTATGGCTTCTGCAATTTAATTATTTTAAACTCATTTAAACATGACTTTAAGGCTGCAAAATTGGTATCCTCCATTAATTAGATTTCATAGATCTGCCCTAAAAGGTATAAATTATTTTTTTTTTGAAAGATTGCTAAATGTACTGCAATAAGTAAATTACCCAAGCTTTGACGTAGAGAAAACAGACGCTGCAGTCAGGGAGGATATTTGTCTGCTTCCGTCAGCTCTATTTTTTCCAGGTCCTGGCCTTGCTGGAGCTGTGGGTCCTCCTACCCAAGCTAGACCTCTGCTGGCCCTCCTCTCCCCAGCTGGGCTGGCCCGCTCAGTCTGCCTTCCTCTTCCAGGGGTGTCATGTGTGCTGATGAGATAATGTATGTGAAAGCCTTTATATGCAAGGCGCAACCGAAGGCCAATTATTACTGTTGTTAGTCTAATCACACTCTAGGGAAACCCTTTGCCCTTCACAGTCCCTGCCCCCACAACCTAGTAGGCAGGACAGCCCAGGAAACTCTGAGGCTAGACAGCCCCTCCCACATAGGCGGGGATTCCTGGCACAAATAGGTCCCATAGTTTCTGGGAGGGGCGGTATTGCTACCCACCTCCCCCTTAGTAATGGCTTTCCCAGTTCTTCCTGGCTTCAGTGGACTAACTCCGGAAGGAAATCTCAGGTCCAGTGAAAGTTCTGGAACTGCTGAAATCATCCACTTCTTCAGTGCCTCCTCAGGCCCACCTCCCAGCCCCCTCCTCTCCTAGTGCCCGTAGTGGAGCCAGGCTGCCCCGGAAGGATCTGACCGGCAATTTCCTAGAATTGTCTAGCTGGAGCTCCTCAGTCACCCAGCTCCCCACCCCCTTCCCCACCTCTTCTGTCTCCCTTTCTCAAAGCTCAAGTCCCTCTGGATGCCCCAGGCCCCATCACGTATCGGCTTCATAGGCCCCATAGTTATGTCAGAGCCAGTCTTTCTGGGCTGTCTACGATTCCGGAGGAGGAACTGGGGCATTGGAAGTCAATATGGCCACAAAGGCCACAGGAAGTTGGTGTGTGTGTGTGTGTGTGTGTGTGTGTGTGTGTGTGTTGTGGTTACCATCCTTAGGCCTTCCCAGAGTTTTTCATCCTCAGCTTGGTGGTAAGAATCATTTGATAATCTGACTGGAGCCCAAAGGATGGGTAGGAAGGCAGATCATCTAGAAAGTCAGTGGGCAGGTGAGAACAATCTATGCTTGCTTCCCTTCCAAAGCCACCTTTGGTGTACAGGGAGGACTGCCTTGTAACCAGACTTCTAAGCTCCTGGTTGCCCACCCCTGTACCTCCAGGTCCTACTTGGCACCAACTCCAGGAAGAGGCCTGGGGAGGTTAGTGGAGAGGCCTGTCTGCATGTGATGGATGGTACTGAAGAAATGCCTGGCACTTTCCTTCCCTGTGGGGGAGGTGAAGCTTCAACCACCTCTCCCCCACATTCCTGCCCGCTGTTTAGGAAGGCACAGGTGGCTGGAGCAGGGAAAGACGAATTCTTATCCTGAGAGTTTCTTACTTTTCTTTTCTCTTTTTCTTTTTTCTTTTCGAGTCAGGGCCTCATGCAGCCCGGACTGTGGTCCAACTTGATACTGAAGATGTCTTTCATCCCTCTCAAGTGATGGAATTAGAGGCCTGCACCACCACACCTGACCATGCCATGCAGTATTGGAGATTGAACTTTGTGCATGCTAAGCAAGCATTTTACTATACCAGGGACATCTCTAGCCCTCCTGAGAGATATTTTTCAAACTTACGTTTGTTTATACTGATATAAGAAATGGAAGTATGTCCGGGCGTGGTGGCGCGTGCCTTTAATCCCAGCACTCGGGAGGCAGAGGCAGGAGGATCTCTGTGAGTTCAAGGCCAGCCTGGTCTACATAGTGAGTTCCAGGACAGCTGGGGCTACAGGGAGACCCTGTCTCAAAAAGACCAAAAAAAAGGAAAGAAATGGAAGTATAAGGAGAAGTGGTAAATAATTCCCACATCACAACTGAGTTTCAAAGGGATCCCTCAGGGCTGGCCAGATGAGTATAGGTGCCAGCCAGCAAGCCTGGCCACCTAAGACCCATGTGGTATATGAGAGAAATGACTTCTACAAGTTGTCCTTTGACCTCCACATGAACACTGTGGCATATGGGAACTCACACACATACACACACATGCACATACATTAAAAAAAAAAATATATATA